AAATGTTCTGGATATTTTACTTGTGAAAACTTTAAGATCATTTCCTCTAGAAACAAAAATCAGGCTGTAAAGTATTTTGGAGCCACGAGAAATAAGGTAGTAGCTTCTACATCAGTGGGGGCTTTCTAGGGATGCAGATGCACATAAATTGGTCAATTAAAAGAAAAAGTGGTATCCAATGTTAGCCATGCTCAGAGTAGACCACCTGAAGTTAATGTTTATGTCAAACTTTGGTTTACTCTAAGTAGAACTTAGATTAACACAACCATGTGTGTTAAACACACTAAAACAGAGAATGTCAAGGTACTTAATTCAGGGAAAAGGGGAAACTGGGTGTTGGGGGTGGGAGGGGAGACAGTTAATTAGGCACCTGAAGCTGAAACAGCTTTATATTTCAAACCACATTCAAAACATCATGTACTACAAATTATCTAGGTCTCCTATTCCTAGTTCATTTTCTCCTAAAAGTCTACTGCCTCACTTTTTTGACTCATTTTTTTTATAATAAATGTTTATTCATTAGCGTGATAGAAACTGAACCAATCTCCAGGTTTCTGCCAACAACATTTGAGCTCTTAACATATGGATCACTACTAATGGGTCATATTCACTTGCTTTCCCTTCAAATCTCCAGTACAATTAAATGAGCCAATTAAAGCTTAAAGCCAACAATAATATTTTTAAATAATATTTTCCATTCATTTTTAAGATCCCTACATTCCTATGTAAGCCATGGTTCTTCTAATGCAGCCTTTCCCAACTAGGTGTACTCTGGATATTTTGGACTACATCTCTCAGCATTCCTCGTGGCTGCCCATGCCGACTGGGGCTGACAGGAATTGCAGTACAACACTGTTCTGGAAAACACCAGGTATGGGAAGGCTGTTCTAATATTTCCACATTCCCAGCATAGATTTGACACATTTGTATGCATCAGGGATAGGGAACCTCAAGCCCATGGGCAGAACATAGCCCTCCAGGCCTCACTACCACCCCACTATTCTCTCCAGCCCACACCCCTCACTGGTCCTGCTTTGCACCCTCATTGAGTATTTCTGATATGAACTCTGGCTTTTCTGGATGGAGGATGGAGATAGGTGTGTGAGTGTCATTGTTAGAAACTGAGATATGAAAGCTAGGAGCTAAACAGCATATTAAACCTAGGTTATGCGCACAACATCGGAATGTCTAGGCGCACTTTTTATAACAAGAATACAAAGATGAAAATGAATGAACTGCAGCTAAAAATCTTATGTTCATTTTTCATGTGGTCTAGTCTGAAGACTTCAAAAAACAGCCATGCCTCCCCCACTCATATTCTTAAGAGGGTCCCTTCTGCAGTCTTCAGAGCGTGGTTAGAAGTGGAGGCAGAAAAAGGTCCCCCTTTCCTTCCACTCTGAACAGGCCCTGGATTTTCCCTACACCCCCCTTCCTTCATATAAATGCATCTTCTTGGCACAACAATTAACACATATTAAATGCCTACACAACTGATGGCAAAGATACCCAGCTTGAGTGTCTAGTTTGCAAACCTAAGATTTAAGTCTCCTTCAATGATCCCACTTCAAAATTTGTTTTGATTTTAAGCATCACTGTGAGTCTGAGGTAGATAACACTTTAACATGCACTACTTAAAAAGCCATCATAACTAACTGGCTAGTATTTTTTGAATGAAAAGCACATCATACATTAAAAGTACATTAAACAAGGCAACTAAAACCTAAACATAACATGTTGGGTTTAAAAGGAAAAGAAGTTTTCAGGTACCCAATTCATGCACGTTTTACTTGAGAAGAAGTCTCATTGAACTTGGTTGGAATTTACTTCCAAGTAACAGTGAGAATTTTAATCTACCAGGCTACTGTTTAAACGCAAGGCTATACAGTGGTACCTCGGGATGTGAACAGGATCCGTTCCGGAGCCTCGTTCGCATCCTGAAGCGAACGCAACCCGCCTCCACGCGTTTCGCTGCTTCCGCACATGCGCGTGATGTCATTTTTACTGTCTGCGCATGCGCACACGGCGAAACCCAAAAATACTTAACTTGAAGCACATTTATCCCGAGGTATGACTGTATAACATTTTTTTTAAACTGTCATTTTAAAAACTCAAAATAATATGTAAAAGAAAAGCCCCTCCCCTAACTTTTATAGTAGGGAATCACTGGGTGGGGGAAGGGAGGAAGAATGTTTGGCGTGAGGTTAAGAACTCTTCTTCCTTTGTTATGCAGCTTCCCCCCTCCCCCCAGAAATAAACCATTTTCCTATTCCAACTCTCTAGAACTGAATCAATAACAAATTCTCTCTCACATGCACACACACACCCCTCCAATATAATGAAATATTCAGTTTCAGGTCTGGATGCTGCTCAAGAATCAAGTCATATCCTGCTCAGTTGTTTTCCTAAACTAAGAAGCCCCACTTCAGTTTTTCCTCACAGATGATGCTCCAACCAACCTCTCTATAGGTTTTGGCTGGCCTTTTCTTGCACTTTTTCCTGCTCTACAATAGCTTTTCTAAGATATGGTAGTTTACAGTTCTGGTTGCCACAAAGCATGCCTCAGAAATACTGAAAATGCATTTTCCAGCTAATAATCAACATAGTCGTCTTACTTTGAAGCTCAACTCACCATAACAGCATTGTCAAATAACATGAATTAAAATGCCATCACCAGTCTGAATTACATAAAGCAAATCCTTAAAACTAAAAATCCTCTTTATCCAGGCTGCTCCTCACAGTATAGTGTATCAGCGAGACAGGAAGTTAAATGTGAAAAGTAAACAAAATTTAGACAAAGGAAGCCCATCCAGTATTTTGAAAACTCAGAAATGGTTCTATCAAAACCAAGCTTTGAAACAGCAGTATCTATGTTGAAGCAAGGCTGCACTGTCTACAGTTTGCAGTTATAGCTCACAAGTAAATCCAAAACCTGAAATGTCAGTATAGTCACCCTCCAGTTTATCTGATACATACAACTGGCAACGAAATCCTAAGTATACTGGCATCAATCCAGAAAACTGCAAGTGTTCAGAACACTGCCTGTCTGGTAGTATAGTCACAGAGCTGAAGAGCAGAAACCCTTTGCAACCCCACTAAGTTCTCAGGCAAGAGTTGACAAGATGGTATGTCTCGAGTTAGTCCCAGTTCTGGCTTCCTCTGTCTACTCCCCTTTCCCATTATAGTTAATTATTATTAAAATGTCTTACCTCAGCGAGCCTTACCCCTGCATGTCTTGCCCCTGCTTGCACACCAAACAGTTGTGACGGGCTTCTTAGCGGAGCCCCTTGTAATAATAAAAAAATATGGGTGGTGCCAATACAGTGATGCTGCCCACTGCTAAACAGACTCATTGCAGATTTCAAAGATTTTGCTCCTGTGCAGCAGGCTCTCTACCATTAGAGTAGATACACGTGTGAAAAACTCTTTTCACATGGAGATAACCATCAGTGGATGTGAGACAAAGCTGGCTGTACGAAAGTGACATTACATTTCACAATCCTATAGTTACACTATATTTACAACAGTTCTCAGTTTTGCTGTATCAGTAACATTAGCACAACATAGTGTCAGCTTATCTGTACTAAACCTAAACTACAATACTGACTTACTGTACAAATGACTTCATAGATACTTCAAACAGGATTCAGATTATTATTAGATTATTATTATTATGTATTAAATTTGTATATTGCCTTTCATCCAAAGATCACAGGGAGGTTCACAACATAAAAATACAAAATGAATTGGATGTCTGCAGGTTTCTTCACTATATGTTTAAAAAACTATTTTAAATAATGTCACAGTCTTGAAAACATACCCACAAAAGTTACTGCACTGGTGAGGCCTGGCACAAGGAGGACAGATAATTCCTTCTTCCCTGCAGCAGTCTAATGCATTTCTATGCAAGGCACCTAGGAGGGACAGAGTCCCTCCCCGACTAGCCTGCTCACTGTCCTGCACACAATTCCTTCTCATCTACAGAAACCAAGCTTGTGCTTTCACACACTGTGAAAACCACCAAGTTTCATAGACATCTTTATAATCACAGAAACAATAAGCAAGATTTTAGGGGGGGGAGAGAACTAGATAATGCTTGAGTGTTTTCTGAGGGGGGAGTAGGAAAGGCACATGGATTTGGTTTATAAATATACCTCAACAGCTGCAGGAGAAAGAAAAAAGTTCAGATTCAAGCCCTCATTTAATATCACAAAGCACTGACAAAGCACAAAAAAACAAACAAACCCATACTAACACTATGACAGAAAGCAGTCGTAGGACACTGGATTATCTTTGTCCATCAAGCAGTAAAGTCAGGCGGAATTTTTAAACAAAAAGCAGCTTTAGAATGAGAATCCCGGGTTAACCTGTAGTTTATAAATCTGAACTTATAGTACATATATATATCCACAAGGGCAGGGGAGTGCTAAGAGACTGACAGCGACTGAAGCGATGGGGGTGGGAAGGATGAGACTGCAAAGGGAAACCTCGTACTTCTACCTACGCTTTTCTGCCTCTCCCGCCGTAGTAAGTTATGGGAGCGAGAGGTACTGGCGGCGAGAGCGTTTATTCCTTGGGAGACGGGTGGGGGTGGGATATGGAGGAAAACGATAAAGGCACCCAACTTTAATTAAAGTACCCAGCGATTACCACCGCTTTCTTCCACACCCCCAATTAGGGCAAGGATAACAAACGCCTAAATGAGCTTATTAAATGAGGTTATTAGTCGGCGGCGGCGAGGGGGGGGGGAAGAGGCAGAAGAGGGAGGAAGGCGGCTGTTCTCACGACACGGGATTCAGACGACCAAAGGAGAGCCCCAATACAGCCTTTTCTCAGGCGCCCGCGGAGTCCGCCCCACCAAGCCCGCAAGACTCCCCGTTTAGGAGGAAAAACTTCGCTCGCCCAGGTTCAGAAATGCCCCTGTCCCCGGCCTCCCCGCTCGGGCCTCCGCACCCCGCTGCCTCCAAGGAGGAGGAGGAGGAGGAGGAGGGTTGCGCGCTCACCTTCCAGCAGCCTGGTGATAAGACTATCCACATTCAGCTCCCCGTCCGCCATTTTGTAGCTAATGGACTCAGTCCCGGGCGGGGACGGAAAGAGACGGTGCTTCGGCGAGGAGGCGGTGGCGGCAACGAAAGCAACAGCGTCTCGTCAAGGACCCTCCTCCCGCCGCCGGCGGCAACTCGCCCGAGCGCGGGACCTCAAAGCGCCCGGCCCAGCGAGCGTTGCGGGGAGGGAGGGGGGTCTTCCCTCAACGGTCACTCGCTTTCCGGCTCCGCTGAAGAGGGAGGGAGAGAAAGAGGCACGAAACCGAGTCCGCCAATCCTCCTCCTCCTCCCCACCCTCCTGCCTGCCTTAGGCCCCGCCGCGCATGCGCCGCGAGGTCCTTTCCACGATCCTTCCTCCCGCGCCTCTTGCCGCTGTTGCTTATACTCCAACAACAACTGCGCGGGAGTATCGGGTTCGGCTCTGAGAGAGGGCTGCGGAGCGGCGCCGGCCGAGGCAACAAGCGCGCAGGCGCGACGGGCTCGCGAAGCCTCTCGCTCGTACGCCCGGGCGCTCACGTGGGCGCGCACGCGCTTCACCCTGCCTGCCTGCCTTTCTTTCTCTTCGCGCTCTCTCTCTCTCTCTCTCTCTCTCTCTCTCTCTCTCTCTCTCTCTCTCTCCCTCCCCTTTTCCATCCCGCTTGTGTCTCCTGGTAACCGGGCTGGGGCCTAGTGCTTAAATGCAAAGTGGAGCCTCTACGCCTGCTGCGCGCAGAACACCGTGCAGCTTTCCTCGAGCGCTGCGTATAATAGGAAAGAGAAGCCCCCACAGGGCCAGACTCATTTCTGCTCTTTTCTCATCTACTGTTTCAGTTCGCGCGGAAAGGCAGCCTTGTTGCTCCCTAAAGGGGGAGGAGTGAAAACCCTCCCAAATTCACAGAACAATAAGCAAGGACTGCACCACGCATTTAAAGAACACGACTTCCCCGAAAAGAATCCTGGGAATTGTAGTCCCCCTTGTGATAGGAATTTTGAGGTCTTAGATACAGTATATGGTAATGTTCATAAGTGTACCAACCAAGCACGTAGATAGATCAGCACAGGAAGACCGACCTGAAACCATTTTGATTCCCAAACTGACCAAATGTTTTCCCTGCAAGGAAGGAGGAGGGTCAGGGAGCCTTCCCATTGTCTCAGGAATTGAGTAATCAACATTTTAATGGGTGACAGACTATCAGGAAAGGCAATCAGATAACCTGGCAAACAGGAAAAACAACATTCAAATTTCTGTTTTAGACTGCCTTTTCTGTGATGTAGGTATGATGTTTCTGGGGGTGGTCTTGATCTACAGGGTGGGAATTTCAAAAGTCTTTATAAGCCCTTGCGCACCATTGTTCTGGGTTCCTCCTCCTTTCCTGCGGGTGAGGGGAGCACCCTGTTGCAACAGATCAATAAAGATCAAGCTTACTAGCTGCTTTGCTTCTCAATATTCTCTGGTTGGCCTCTGTTATTTTCTCCTACCAATAGGGAACCTATGTAAGGACTCTATATGGGCTCTTGGATATTCCATAAGGGAAAGGGGCAATTTTTGTTTACAACACCCCCGCACAGAACTGTGATTCCCATCACCTTTAACAGGCTGCAGCATGGGTAGGCAAACTAAGGCCCGGGGGCTGGATCCAGCCCAATCGCCTTCTAAATCCGGCCCGCAGACGGTCCGGGGAATCAGCATGTTTTGACATTAGTAGAATGTGTCCTTTTATTTAAAATACATCTCTGGGTTATTTGTGGGGCCTGTCTGGTGTTTTGACATGAGTAGAATGTGTGCTTTTATTTAAAATACATCTCTAGGTTATTTGTGGGGCATAGGAATTCGTTCATTCCCCCCCCCCCCAATATAGTCTGGCCCCCCACAAGGTCTGAGGGACAGTGGACCGGCCCCCTGCTGAAAAAGTTTTCTGACCTCTAGGCTACAGAGACCAGTATCCTTTGGGAACGTGCATTGAATGTGGTTTAAATGTATGGTGTTGCCATGTCCCAGGTTTCCCAGTTCTCATTTCCAAAAGTTGCTTACTATTTTTGTGACAAGTTTTGTTGGTACCAATAAAGGTATTCCCCAGCCTGGATTTGGCAATTCTGCTTAGGGTTCACATGAGTTCACTGTATTTGCGCAGCCTGCTGTCGGAATGGAAGGTATCGACAAGTGTGAAAAGGGGTGTGCGGTCAATGTGCATATTGTTTTCTACCTCCTGTAGATAATTTCATATAATTATAATAACAGAGTACTTTGAACAGGGCCGTGGCTCAGAGCCTATGATTTGCATGCAGAAGGGCCCAAGTTCCGTCTCCGGCATTTCCAAGCAGGATGCCAGAGATCCTGGAGATGCTGTTGCTAGTCAGATGTAGACAATACTGAGCTATAAATCAGGTGTGGGGAACCTTTGACCCTCCAGGTGTTCCTGAAGGACAACTCCCATCATCCCTAGTTGCTGGCCATGCTTGTTGCTGAAAAGGAAAAAGGGAAGAAAAGTGGCAGCCCTTTATGCAAGAGACACTTGCTTGGCTTGGAGGAATATACATATTTTAAAGTTCATTTTGAGTGTTCTTTTGGGTAAGTCTGGTATATCAGAAAGCCTATAGATATATGCTGCAGTCCTTAGTGAGGTTTTTTTAACCCTTTCACCACCACCAAAAGTGTGGTGGTGACTAGGCCCCCTCAACAATGCCCCCCCCAATTGCATCTCTTTCAGTGCCTTGGCTGTGACAGCAGCCCTGCAGAGGCCTGTCCCCTCCTAAGTCCGCCGGCAGGGGGGCTGGCAGTTATTTTTGTGCAACAGTCTCGCAGTGAGGTCACTGCTGCTTGGCCCTCCATCCCTCTGCTCTCCCTGTGTGCCCCAAGAGTGGCCTTTCAGCTGCTGTGGCTGAGAAACTCACGTGAGGCTCTTAATTTAGCACAGCCACAGCCAAGTTGCTTTTCCCTGGTTTCTTTTCCACCTTGTCAATTTCCAGGGCATGATGCATGTTTACCCCAGAGAGCAAGGGCCATTGACTTAAGGAGGGTTTACTTCTGAGTAAAGTGTGCACTGGGTGCAACCTTCAGGTTAGTGCCTTCCTGCTCGTGCAACTGTTCCCCCACAAAAAATAAAATTGAAGACATAATTCAACAGAACCATAGATTAAGCCACTGATACAAATAAGATACCAGAGCATAAAGCAGATACAAAAAAAAATGAGAATAGCCTGTGTCATCTGCAAAACATATAACCAAGATGCAGGGTTACAAATACTTCCAAATGAAATGATATTTTGGAGAAATAAAATTCTGTTTCACAACTGTTTATTTTTTTTTGTAATTGATGCATTTTGTTTTATTGTTCGTTGCTATTTTGTTGGTACTATGTTGCAATGAGGACGCGGGTGGCGCTGTGGGTAAAGCCTCAGTGCCTAGGACTTGCCGATCGTATGGTCGGCGATTCGAATCCCCGCAGCGGGGTGAGCTCCCGTCGTTCGGTCCCAGCTCCTGCCCACCTAGCAGTTCGAAAGCACCCCTAAGTGCAAGTAGATAAATAGGTACCGCTTTATAGCGGGAAGGTAACGGCGTTTCCGTGCGCTGCGCTGGTGCTGGCTCGCCAGAGCAGCTTCGTCACACTGGCCACGTGACCCGGAAGTGTCTTCGGACAGTGCTGGCTCCCGGCCTCTTAAGCGAGATGAGCACGCAACCCCAGAGTCGGACACGACTGGCCTGTACGGGCAGGGGTACCTTTACCTTTACTATGTTGCAATGCTATGTGTGAAATAAATGTTAGAATTTTGTTAATTAATTTTGGTTGGATTGTTACAGGATGACAATGTGATTTCTTCTGTATATTTTGACATTTCTGTGGGTTGTAAACCATCCTGCGTACTGTAATGTAGATCAGTGTTTTTCAACCACTGTTCCGTGGCACACTAGTGTGCCGCGAGATGTTGCCTGGTGTGCCGTGGGAAAAGTTGAAAAATTCGAAAGATTTAAAAATAAAGTATTTTATAATTTTTCATATTTCTGTTTACTTACTATTTCATAATAAAGTAATTATAAAATACTTTCTTTGTGTTTATTTGGTTCCTATTCAAGAGAATTACTTTATATATAGTCAATATAGGCACAGAGTTAAATTTTTTAACATTTTCTAATGGTGGTGTGCCTTGTGATTTTTTTCATGAAACAAGTGTGCCTTTGCCCAAAAAAGGTTGAAAAACACTGATGTAGATAGAGGTGCCATAAAAATTAAAAATTAAATTTGGTGCCGTTTCTTGCCTTATTTCATGCAGGTAACAAGAAGGGGATAAATGGGGAGAAAGGAGTGGCAGAAAGAGAGAGGAGGGAGTAGCAGAAACATAACAGAGAAAAGTGGGTATCCCTTGCCCACCTTTTTCTCCCGTCCCACTCTTCATCAGAGCGGTACCTAACAGTTTATCCCTGAGGAAATGCAGTCCTCCATACACACACAAAAAGATTGCCCACCTCTGTGTATTGGCTTAACAACCTTCTCTTTTGTCACAAGTGGCAGCAGTGTCTACCACAGAGGAAATACCTGGCAAATATGTAAACTAGATTGTAACCTGGGTGGCTATAAGCTCCCAATTTCAGGTAAGAAGAAGAAGAGTTTGGATTTGATATCCCGCCTTTCACTCCCTTTAAGGAGTCTCAAAGCGGCTAACATTCTCCTTTCCCTTCCTCCCCCACAACAAACAGTCTGTGAGGTGAGTGGGGCTGAGAGACTTCAAAGAAGTGTGACTAGCCCAAGGTCACCCAGCAGCTGCATGTGGAGGAGTGGAGGCGCGAACCCAGTTCCCCAGATTACGAGTCTATCGCTCTTAACCACTACACCACACTGGCTCTCAATTGGTAAGTTCCAATTATAACCAGGGAACGCAATGAGAAGCATGGCCATTATTTTTTATGAATACAAACGCTCCAGTCCACTTCTTGCCACTGCAAGCCAAACATTTTGATTTATTATTCCTTGCAGAACCAAAGCCAGGGCACATGGAACAGGCGAATAGAAACTGCAGTGCAGACAGAGGCTTCCTATGTTTGTATTGTCCCAATGACCACATGTCATGGGCTGGAAGAGTACAGTGGCCCCATTCTTAATCTGTCTTCTGACTGCTCCTGCAGTAGTGCAGTGAGGCAGGGACTATGGGGACAAAGCACCACCATCGTTTATCTCTCAGCAGCAGCAATGACCATCTCCAGAGGTGCTATTTGCCAATCATCTGCCTGCCAAATAAATAAGCTTTTCTTTAAGAAAACTACCAAATAAACTAAGCTGAGGAAGAGGCAGGTTGAAGAAGAAAATGAAATGGGGCAGTGATCACAAGGTATACTTGAGTAAAGGTGTGCCTGAGATGGTTGGTTTATTTTGTCCCTTGAACTGCAGGCTTTCACTTATACAAAAGTATTGCTCTCCATGCTAAGCAGCTAAAATCTGAACTCCTCCCACCCTGCTCTGCTCAGCTCTACCAGCCCCAGTAGCCCCTGTAATA